CACAGTGACTGTGGCAGTGGAGTTGGGTGTGTCTGAGAGAGTGAGATTGTCTCAGGATAGGGCACAATTCAAAGTCATTGTTCATAAGGTCGTTATGAGTCATAGTCAACTTGATGGCACATAACAACAATAACAATGGCATAGACCCTGACAGCAGATTTTCCCAGTGCAATTTTTCTTTTGATTTCTTGACTGCTGATACTAAGGGTGTTGATTTTGTATCCAAGTAAGATGAAATGTTGACAACTTCAGTCTTTTCTCCATCTATCATAGTATATTACCTATTGGCCTGGTGGTCTATTGTCAGGGACCTTTGCAGAATACTAAACAAAGGCTGTCATTTTAAAGACTAAGGTGCCCATGACCCAAACCATGGTCTTTTAAGTTATTTGCTATGCATCTAAAAGTTGGACAGGACTGTGGATGACAGAAGAATCATCAATGCCTTTGAATTGTAGTGTTGAAGAAGAGTATTGAATATCCCATGGACCACTAAGACAACAAAGAAGTCTGTCCTTGAGAAGTAAAAGAAGAGTGCTCCTTGGAGGCAAGGATGGTGAAACTCTGCCTCATGTACTTTGGGCATGTTGTTAGGGAGGGGCTAGTTCATGAAGAGAGACATCATGTATTGAGAAGTGGAGGATCAGTGTAAGAGAGGAGGACCCTCAGAGACATGGGTTGATAGTGACTGTAACAATGGACTCAAGTATGACAAAGATGGTGAGGATGACAGAGGACAGGGCAAGGTTCAGAGCTGTTGTTCATTGGTTCACTTTCTGTTGTGTTCAGCTCAGTGGCACATAACAATAATGGCTTACTGTGCTATGTGTTGTATTGCTAATCCAAAGATCAGTGGTTCAAAACCATCAGCCTGCTTTAGAGCAGAAAAATAGGCAGTTTGCTTCTGGAAAGATTTACAGCCTTGGAAACTTGATGGAGGTTTGCTACAAGTGGGAATTAACTTTTTGTCAGTGAGTTTGGATTTTTTTGTTCATATCTTTAGTGCTTTGATTCTATTATATATTTACCTTTTGTAACTCTGTTGTGTTATATATGTTACAGGCCCAGAGCCGAGACTAGTGTAAATAAAAAGAAAGGTTTAGGGCCCAGAATTTAAGGAAGTACTTACTTTTAGGATCAATGCTGTATTTACGCTTTAAATTTTTTTCTCTAGGTACCTTTTTTTGACTTAGCCTCATTCTGACCCTGTATAACACCATAATAGTTTCTTACAGACACCTCCTATACTTTCACATGGATTCAGCATAATACTTTCATTTAGATCAGGATTTGGATTTTCTCTGAGTAAACAAAAGTATAGAAATGGAACGCATAAATATTGACATATTAGGCATTGGAGAGATGAGATGGACTGGCATGGGGCATTTTGAGTCAGATGACCATATGATATATTACTC